AATATTGGCCACGCTTCAAATATTATTATAGAATGAAGCTGGATTGCGAGCTAGTCTACTCTGAATTCTTCATCATCAAGGTATACGATTATATGTAAGATATAATATTCAGAATAACTATTTGATACTATATATATAATTACGAAGGGCACAAATCCAGAAGTGAATTATCTCTCAAGAGAGGATTATCGGGCAATAAGCTATAGGAAGTACCCTGCATTCTGCAATAACCGTGACGAGATCTATGATTTGTTTGAAAGCTATGAGAGAATGAAGGCACGAAACGGTGATTATGACTCTGCGGATCGGTAAAACATATGCATATTTTTGATTTTGATTTTGGAAGAATAGAGTTTTATATTTTTTTACAGAACGTTAGCAATCCTACGCGCGGCAAAGAAGAGTAAATTTGGTGGTCCACATGTCCACGAACTATACATTGATGAATGTCAGGACAATCAAATCGTGGATTTTTCACTTATACTAAAGCTCTTTGGTAAAGCAGAAAGCATTATAATGGCCGGAGACGTAGCTCAATGTATTGCTCGGGGTTCTTCTTTTCGATTTCAAGGTACGAGAACTTTTAAAAATAAAAAATAAAAATCATTACTATTATTATTATTATTATATTCTTCACAATTTTTTAACATTCTAATATAGACTTACGCGCCTTAATGTATAAATGGGAGCTCGACCATCATATGTACAGTAGTATAAAATCAAAGATGTTTGAATTAAACACTAACTATCGCTCCCATAACGGGATTATTCAACTTGCATCGTCAGTGGTTGATCTTATCAAACGCTTTTTTCCTGAATCCATTGATAATTTGTCGCGCGAGCGTGGTGAGGTTGGTGGACCTCGACCAATCGTCTTCGCAGGATTTGAAGCTGAGACATTCCTGTTCAAAGTTTTCCGCGCTGGTGACCCCACATCTAATTGTATTGAATTTGGCGCCGAGCAAGTTATTATCGTACGCAACGATGAAGCTAAGAAGAATGTGAAAAACCTAAACAAGAATGCCGGATTAGTACTGACAGTTTTTGAAGCGAAAGGCATGGAATTTAATGATGTCCTATTGTATAACTTCTTTCACGAATCGCCCGCGCTCTCAAAGGTATAATACGAGAATTTATTTAGAATAAAGTAAGTTAACCTATTGATTATTGTACGGAAAATAATTTTGCAAACCAATCTAGTGGCAAACAATTCCTTCCGATTTGGAAAACAGCTCCGGGACTTTAGATAACGAAAAGCCTTATATACTTTCTTCCGAACTCAAGCACCTTTATGTTGCAGTAACCAGAGCCCGGGAGCGTCTCTGGATTTTCGATGAAAATTCCGAATGGATCAGACCAATACTGACGTATTGGATGCATCATGGATTGGTCAGAGTGATCAGTAGCGTGGAAGAAATTGCTACGCTTCCAACTTTGGCTAAAAAGAGTAGTTCACAAGAGTGGAATCGAAAAGGAAAGGCATTCTTCGAACGGCATCAATATGAGCTGGTAAAATAACATTCTAAAATATTTCATGTTTGATAGCAAATGTGATGCCTAAACAAATGAATTATCCTAGGCCATTACCTGCTTCGAAAAGAGTGGAAATGAAAAAAGAAAAAAACTAGCATCCGCATACCACCTTCAACAAATCGCCAGAAACTCGGTGAATGATTCCGATGAAACAACTGTGAGGTCTAATTTTATTCAAGCCGCCCAAGCATTCAACGGATGTTCCCGGCCGATACAGGAGGCTTCATGTTATCAGGTAGAGTTTAAATTTTTTCAGAATGTGTTTAGATGGTTGTATAAAGGTTATTTGTACCTTAAATATTTAGCTAATATACAACAAATTTAAAAAACTAATCAGGACATTGGAATGCATAGAGAAGCAGGTGATGTTTACAAAAATTGGGACATGTTTGAACCCGCAGCGCGTTGCTACTTTAAAGGAAAGATTTGGCGTGAGGCCGGTAATTGCTTTGCAAAAGCCAAGATGTACAACGACGCTACTATTTCCTATAAAGAGGGTAAATTATACGAGATAACAGTCAATTTTATGGAGAGGTAGGCAGTCATTCATTTTGGGTAAATCAATGTTAATCTTATTACAGTAATACGTACAGTGAATTCTTTTTTTTTTTTTCAGACACAAACAAAATATCGACGAGAAAATATTTCGTCGCGTCATCCGTCTTATCTATGTCTGTTGTCGGAAGGATAATAAGGAACTAAGCGAGAAAGCCCTCTCTATGCTTACAAAGCAAGAGGACAGAATTGAAATCCTCAAAGATCATGCGCCAGAAGAAGTTCAGGAAGTATATAAAAGAGAAGGCCAATTTCGTGACGCCGCAGAAGAATTATGTTCACGTGGTAAATTCGAAGAGGCATCCAATGTTTACATCCGTTCATCTGAAAATGAAGATATTATCGAGTCATTGCAATGTCTTTTGCATTTATGCCGGACAAATATACTAAAAAATACGATAGGTGATTACATGAACCCGGAAGCTCGAGAGGAGCTGCATAATTTCGTTTCAAAGGCAATTGATTTAACCAAATCACGGGCGGTGAAATCAGAATCATGGATGATTTTAGTGGAGGAGACTCAGTTATACTTATCTTATCTAAATAAGGATTTTGATGCAGTTCGTAAAGGAATAATGTTTTTCGAGAAGCACAGAGAACCCGTAGCTGAGTTTCGTGCGATAAGCATGTGGTTAACAATTTCAGCACTATCGGATGTTAATGCTGATCACTGGTATGAACGTTTGCAATTTCTGCAGAGATTGTGTGAATTAATCATTCCGTCTAAAGCCTCACCGCGAAATGACAAAGATGTCGAGGAAACCAGGAAGAGTTTTGAGGAAATTTATCTCGTGAAGAGTGTGAAAAGTCGTCCAAATCAACGGAAAATTTCTGTCGACAACCCACTTGTTGCTCTTATAGAGGATAATTTGGTGGAACCCTCGGATTATTGGCATGTTCATGATGCGGACATAGTACACAGGGCTGTTTCGAAATTCATTGGTACATATATATATGAGCTTATCCTTAATACAAATCGAGATGGTAAAAAAATTCCAGAGATAGCCTCAGAGATGTGTGATTGCCAATACCCAAAAACTTGCAGAAAGCATCACGTGACACCAACGCCATCAATTATTAAAAAGCGCCTGAGACTCGCATGCCTTCAATATACAACGATGAGACAATTAAGTACATGTATATCCAAATTTCGCGACTTTGTTAACGAAGATCAAATTAAGGTTGCACTTCGTCCGCAAAGGTTTTGGGCTGAAAAGCTGGTGGAATTTCACTTTCGCTATCAGTCTCCTCACACAAGCTGTCCAGAAATCACATATATGGGGATCAACGAACTTCCTAATTTCACATATAATGGACTTATCTATCTCACGAACAATAAATGGCTAAATGATGAAGAATTCGATGTTGGTAACTTTGCCAAAATGTTAAAGTTTATACTTTTTTCCATTCAGTTGCAGAATAGATGGGGAATTGAAGAATTCGATTGGAAGGTATCAAGAAAAAGATCTTATTCTGAAAATTGTCCGATTGGTTTTGAATATAACTCAAAATATAACGAATACTGGGCGATTGGAAGACGACTTTCGTTATTCTTTTCATCTCTCCAGTCTGATAGACTAATTCCTGCAATTAATCATGCAAAGTTGTTTATTTCCTATGCCATAAATAACTTGGAAAGCGTTAAAATAATACC